GATCACAGCACTCTGCAACTGTCCGAAAATAAGATACATATCATGGTTTCAAGTCTGTTGATAGTAATCAATAGGTCACCCATTAAGATGCGAAATGTCCGACCGGATTTTCTTGTACTACACAGTGTTTCTGTGAAATGATTGTTCCTCGGCTTTGCATTGGTGTACACAACTGGAATACCAAGCACCTGAAATTTTACACCAACTGGCATTGGCGAGTACACTTCCAACACACTCAAAACACGTTAGTTGTTAAAGAATCTGATTCATGGGTGCAGTTTCCGAAGTCGAAAACACACCCCCATGGCATGCCGCGTGTGCGTGATGCGGAGCTGCTTGTGTCTCGGTGGTTCATTCCCAATTGGGTTGTCGAATTGGCTGCATGGCTTTATTTGGCTTGCACTGAATTACTTGCATTTTCACTGAAAAACCATAAACAGTAAAACCTCCGTAAGTTGACCACTGAAGGGACTGGACCGAAGTGGTGGTCAACATACATAGGTCTGGATACACAAGGTTTACATGGTGAACGGTTGGGCAATGATAAAATACCGGTTAAACTAGATAGCTGGTCAGGATATAGAGGTGTTCAATTTCGGGGGTTATACTGTACCAAGTAGAAATCCAGAGAAGGATTTTCAGGAGACACATGTATGGAGAAGATTATCTTTCTGAACCCAGCTCCCACTCCGTCGGAACGGATGCTACTCTTGAGTAGGCCAGTCCGTAGAGCCCAGTCCAGGATTATACTAAAATGCAACTACTGTAGAATGAAACAGGATGGAAGGTCGAATAATTCTTGAAACAAATTCGCCTCAACATAGTATGGCAAGTGTAGGCCGAATAACCACGGAGTTAATGTGAGCACAGCGGTTGTTTGTGTTGCATTCACACCCAGTCAGAATGTGCTGTCACGTAAGATAAATGGAGCAATCGATTATAATGGGCAACAACTGAAATGGTTGACAATTCCCGTACGATAGTAAGGGTGCAAATTACAAGGTAAAAGAGTGTTAAAATAAAGCTCAAAATAACATCTCACCAAGAGGTTCGCAGTAGCACAGGTGTGTGTTCCTGCCTGGAGTTGAAAAGAGTAGTGACACCATCCACCGTTTGTTCTACACTCTTGTCATCATGTGACGATCATAAGCTATACCACATAGTGTAAATGTGTCGGTGCATCGTCAAGTTGTTTTTGAATAGTGATAAAGCGCGGGCATTGATTACATGCGCTGTGAGGTAGTTATGGTGGGTTACATTCGGAGGGAGAAAACTTTTCTTCGACATTTCGGTCGGCTGTGCTGCGTAGCCAGATTAAACTCATAGCCCTTGGGAGACGTATTTCGGATCGGTTTTGAGCCATGGTAGAAAGTATGGCCGGGGGAGTACAGGATCCCATCCACCATTATGAGCTCGCCCAGTAGACGCGGATAAGATCCACTGTACACGCTTATACTTTTCATCCTGAGTAGGCGGGGAAGTGGGCGAAACTGTTAAGGTTCTTCATCGCCCTGCGTTATGCAACATCAGGTGAGAGAGGTAGCGTTTCCGCCGGCAGCGTCAGGACGCTTTTGGAAACTGTTGACTTTGAGGAAGCAGTAGCTTAACTTGGCAGAGCGCTGTCCGGTTGGCATACATGAAGAACGAAGAAATTCCGGTGGCATTCCAACCGGCTGTATTGTGTGGCCAGTTTTAACTGATGCCGTCTTGGTGCGATGCTGTGGTTTCCTTTCAGGTAACGACAATGGTGGCTGGGTTAGTCTGGACCTGACACCTCATTATCAAAAACGCCACGCAAACCCTGTTACTGTCCCCCATAAACCATAAGTATTTCCCTCTCTATTGAGAAGAGATAGTACCACACTTTCGCATCCTCCGTCGCGTTTTCATCAAGGCTGTTAGGCCTAGATGGTGTAATCTAAATGGGCCTAGTTTATGTGTTACGCATCTAGGAGATGATAGGTCCAAACCGCCTGAATGCCCCTTGTAAAATTCAAGATACTGGTTGATTTCTATCCAAGATTTCTCGGCCTGAGGAGAACTAGGAAAATCCTCTTGTATCAGCATTCCTAGATGTAATACGCACGGTGAAGACAGATGCATGCTATTTGTGTCTTTCAGTCTTGCGAACGTGTTTCATAATTTCAGAGTACAGACGGAAAGCATGCGCAAGAGTTTTACACAATTCAGTACATCGTCGAGTATCATGGGTTACATCTTAAGAGCACATTTTGCATAGACACCTTCCATAAATCTTAGTGACGACTTTCAAGCTCATGGAAACGTCAGCTGCTGTTGCGGAGTCACATGAGGCAACGATTCCACTTGTATCGGACGATGGAGTCTTTAAAGTGCAAACGATTAACTTGTTGAACAAAGCATCACATCGGCTACTGTCCCCAGACCCGAAGTCCATGGATCGCAATCACAGCCGGTTTACAGCATGAAAACGGAATTTCGACCACAGAGGACTTCTAAACAACCGGGCGACATTATCTAGAATAGATACATGACAAGTGGTCCCTAACATTCATAGATTAATGCGCTGAGGATGCCAATTCACTTTGACTATCTGTTTTTGTATGCTATGCTTAAGTGTGTATGTGAATAGTAAGGTATGATAGATACACATGATAATTTTGTGTGCTTCATGCGTTCCAAAGTACCCCAGAAACTTGCATCGTTGGGTACAAATGTGTTCGAATGGTGCAACTTCCCACAAGTAACACACACCTTCACATCTCCCTCCGGAACTCGATAGAAGTCCGCCTGTCTGCAACCAGTCCACGAATTTTCCGGTGCCAACTGTAACAGCGATTTCTGACGTTAAAAGAATAAACTGCCGCTAAATTTTCACTCATCTCCTTCGACCTGGTTTCATAAAAATTTGCATCGCGAGCAGATAGCAACACCAAAACTCATTACCAGCTGCGATATTGTAGCCTTTGTTGTGTTTGCAAGTTCGCATCGGATACGTGACAGTTAGGTCGTAAAATACTGGCTTCTTAGGACTACATGTGATTATGACTTCATTACGAAATGTTCAGTGACCTTTGACTTTGTATCGGCGATGCTTAGGGTACAACTCACCTAAAGTTAGGTGTGATACATGACAACAGCAGCCGACGATACTGAAACGCTACTGTTCACATTTTCAATCTGGGTTTATAACTTTTCCGTCCGTTATCAAAGACACTGTGTTCTAACTTTCAGAGTAAGGCTACGGCTATTTGCTAATTGACGGATTGTGCTGACTCAGTTTATAACAAACTGTGTGTGACATGAGATAACGTATGGACAAATTGTAATCTTTTTCCTTCGCACCACTTGCTTTGTCCCAAAAACTAACAACCGTTATCTGATTTTTATTTACTTGGACGAATGTTGTCAATTTAATTTGATTATGCAAGCCAATCGGCTGACCGTATTTTCGGCCCCTGTTAGGGGTTTCACGGGTTGCGTCAATGTGTCGGAATCGATTTCTAAAGCTAGCTTTCATTGGATCTAGTTGGTCAAAAGACTATTATTATTATTCTTATTATTATGCTTATTATTATTACTGAGTTATTAAAGTCCTCTTGACTAAACTGCTAGCCGATAGCATGGAGGTCGATGGAAAATATTGGTTTCTGACCAAGTCGATTGGGCGCAGGGCTGGACGGCTGTTGTTCGGCGTTAAGTACCCTTCATAGGTAACTTTCGCTCCATAGACTGCGACTTTTTAGCTCAGTCCTAATAGTTTACGCGTTGTTAGTTTCAGCTTACTGCTGACGGGTTTCTCGCTGATTTTTCTTCTTGATGCTTGCTGTTATTTCTGTGGAGGGCGCAGGGCTGCCGATGTGATTCTTACCTTTGGTAAACAATCACTCGTTGCGTTTGGGCCTTGTTCCAGTCACTGGCGACCAGCTAGAGTGCAGTACGCAGTAGTTAGGATATACCGGTGCTGGAGCTGAAACAACTGCAGTCCAGCCAGCAGTAGGAAGCATTTTGATGTTAGCATTACACACAAGAGAACAAACACTTATCTATTGTCAGAGAAGATTCAAGTGCTAAAACCTTAATGTGCGCACTGGTGAATATATTTCCAGCAGGGTTCCGTGACATGAAAAATAAGTCGAGGTGTCGGTTATTCAAAAAAACTACTTTGCGAAAAGATCATCACAGCCATGTATCCACATAGGAACATCATCGATCAAGGTTACTCGGAGTATCCGTTCATAGGCGCCGTCCATTCTACGTACAGAACTTTTGCCATGGGTTCCTATACACAACCGCATCTCCGCAGAACCTGCTCATTTCAGCTTTGTTGTATCTTGTTAACTCTTCTCCACTGCGTTGCCACTCGGCTGATGAAAAAGTTCACATGAGGAAAACCAATGAAATTAATCAAAAGCAAATGTCCTTCGGTTCTCTACTTGCCCACTTGTTCTCCATCTGATTGCAGAAAAATGCAAGTGAACTAGCGATGCCACGCACACCAGCACACAACCACTGGGCTAACAAGCCAAATTAATAGAAAAAGAACGTACCTTAGAGACTCACTGATAAATGGTCACAGAGATAATGGGGCTTCAAAAGTACTAAGATCGAAAACATTAGTGTCCTTACAAGTATTTCGTCTCGACGGCACACAAATCACCATGCGGTTAACATATTTGTGATGTGGCAATCTAAACGACCGACCGCCTAGTACTGAGTACGATTTATGGAGACTGTGCTAGACTAGTTGACTTTGTCTTGGATGCCAGCCACCATTTTTCATAAATTCCTCTGCAAACATTACTGATGAGCCGAAAAGATTAGATGCAAGATAGGTCGTGCAGACTGACAATACCCTCAACCATAAATATCAGATGTAATGCACCTGGCACAAAATTCTCCGGAACAAAACAACGTGAACATGCGTGGCAGCAGCTGCGTACCACATTTGGTTAAATTGTAATGCGAGAACAGGTTCCCACTGTAACTACCGTTTTCTTTCTTCTTCACACAGTTGTTTTATGCCATTCTATGGTCCGCAATGCGAACATGAGGCCCCCACTGGAAGCAAAACCGATAAACAACTTCCTGGTAAGCAATTTCAAGAAGCATAGGTTCCACCAATTCATCGCTATGCCTACCACTACGATTCTCGGCTTAAAGCAAACCGTAGCTTGAACGATTCATCCTGAGCGTTAGATTACCGTTTTATCGGAAACCACACAGGCTGTACCAATTAAATCTGCAAGGGGCCATCGAAATCCACGGGTGTATACGAGAGATATTTTGCGCACTTCGCCTGCGTATACCACGGAGTGTGGTTGATTGGAATTTGAACTTTTTTCTATACCACCAAGTACCTACTTAGAATTTAGTGGCGGCTGGTAGCCAGCCCAATACTGGTTGTGGTCAATCAACGATACACCAACGATGGGTTGTCGATCCTAGTCAAAAGTAACAAGGGTATGGTTACCTGAGATCCTGTTCACCGGGGTGACAATCATTTTATAATCAACATTCGGTTTGTTAAAACCAGTGAGTAAACTGTGCATACTTTCGGTGCGATGTTGTTATCTGAGGCCCTTGGCATTCAGTATGAAGTGAGATTATCCTGCACTTTCTACGCGACACGAATACAATTGCATTGGTGGAAGTTCCAGTCTGAAATTCAAGCAAGCTAGATTTCAATATTCCACCGCCTATTATTGGAATTTAGCTACAACATCTTAAGCAAGATTCTCATAGTTAACACGTTGACGAATGTCTAAAACCTATTGAACATCTCACTAGCTGGTTTCCCATACAGCGTTCCGTTTTGGTTACTCTTATAGGCGGAATAATCAGGATAAACGTATTGGCCAACCAGACAAGCCGAAAAAAGTATAACGACGAGACCTTTTTCATTTTAAACAATATCTGTTATGGAACTGCTCATCCAGAATTAACTAGGGTAGTGTACGGCTTAATGGAACCAGGCAGCCCGAACCAGCCTGCTAATGCGAAGCGCTCGATGAGCAACGGCTGTCGGTACATAGTTAAAAGTCAGGAAATTAGAATTATTATGATATTTAAACTTCTTGGTCCTTAATCGAAGTAGTCACCAGTATTCGTATGGTGACCTGGAATACGAAAATTGCTATCCCGATTGTCAGCGAAGAGCACGACTACGCACCCTAATTGAGCTGTGGAGGATGACGCAGTATACAAAGAGTTGTCCAGTTTACCTGATTTGGAAGTTACAGTTCTCCGTTCACCAAGTTCACCGGTAATCTTCATCAAGCCATACTGTCGCCATAGCTGTTTCCTACTTATGTCGGATCATTACTGTTTCTGATGAAGCTATTTTGCTGAAATTGTGCACAACTTCGTATCGGCATCGAATATCCGACCATAACATCATTTTTCAAAATACTGGTCTTAGTAAAATCACATATTGATCTAGATAAGTTGATATATCGTCCAATGCATTAAGGCACAATGAAGTTCCATTTTCCCACGCAAATGTCCTCAGGAACCACATGGAATGCCATTGCATTCACATAGATGGCGAGGGATTGCGCAGCTATGCGGCAGTGAACTATCTGGGTGACACATTCAGCCATGATCTCTTTTGATCACTCCATGTGAATGAACTACTCACGAAACTCTAGAAGCATCCTTTCTACACGGATCATCTGCTGTGTATAACCGCACTGAGTATTTTTCCTCCTTGCTATTTCGTACTTTAGTAAGTGCGCGTTTCCAACTTATACCTAGGTCGTTTAAGCTAGTGTTTCGATGCAGTGGCATTTTGAAATCGATCCATGTTGATATTCTTGTGTATTCATACCATTTCTTGTGAAAAGGCATTCCTCAGCATACTCACGGTTTAAGTCACCTGTATATCAGCTTCGTCAACCCGAGAAAGTAAATCAACCATTTACGCGAATACAGGTGTTTACTACTTATCCGCTGTTTCAAACTTAGCGCACTTTTTGTGTGACTAAACATTCTTTGTTGTGAATTCTTCGAGCAGGTTTGTATTGTAGCTATATTACTGTCTACACTAATTCTTAACCCACTTGTAGATTCGCAGTGTTAAATTTTGTTATTTTTACAATGCTGTAAGCGTGTGTGAGACCGCTGAACACTCACCCATTCTGTGTGCATACATTTCTTTGTGAATTGAGTTGAAATTGTGCAGCTCCCAGAGCGGACTGTTGTCTCCTAATCTGACATTAGCTCATTTCCTTCGAAGTTTTCGAGTGGATAAACTGTCAGGTAATAAAGTTTGTGTATATTTATTTCTGCGATAGCCCGAAGCGATGAAATGGAACCGGAAGTGAAGCGTTCGGTGGACCGGGCGATGACTATCACCGCATTGGTATTCATATTGATTACCTTTCTTGGCTTGGTTACGCTGGCATGGTATCTGTCCAGGTGAGTACGCTATTGTGAATGTACCCCAATGGCAACATAGGTTGTTTGATTGGTATAGTATAAACGGTTCATGAAATAATAATGGAACTTCGCTACTGTGATTGGTTAGAACACTTGCACACTGTTGATATTTGTCAATGAAGCAAAACCGGTAAACACAGTCAAATGGCTTAAGCTTCCTATGTTAACGACGAGGATCCCAGAGCTCAAGTGCAGATTACTCCGTTATCATTAACGTAATTAGGCTTAGGTAAAGCCAAGGAAGAAATAGAAAACGGCTCATTGATACGGCAGCATTTCTCAGAGCTCCATCCAATTTGAATTTTTGCTGTGCATCGACGGTCGACCACGGATATCTATATACCGTTTTACTCGTCTTTGTGCGCCGCGTCGGATACTGCAGAAACATTGCATTATTGTTTTATGGATTCGTCAGAAGAGGTGGAAAACCAGACTCCATTGAAATGAACGGTCGGTTTAACTAGAGTGCGTAACACCTAGGGTTCAGGGTTTTTTCCCCACTTTTCTCTCGTTCTTATTCCGTTTTGTTAGCTCTATATAATGGTGTGATTGTTTTCTCTGTGTGAGTTGTAGGTGCATTTTTATTCTTGTATTATTTGTACATCCCTTACTATATCATATTCCGCACCAGGATAGAAGGTAACTATGCTAGATATGTCACGGTCAGTATTTTTCCTATCGGTAGAATAGCATTCTGCATCGATTGAGCCTATAGTGACCGCAATCCGAGCTTTATTTATGGAGATGTTAGCACTTAACTAATTTCATTACTAAAAATAGAAGCTTTGTATTTCTATTGGTTTCTAGTTTTTTTTACCTAGCCCGTAGCGTTGTGTTTGTATTCATATTGTAGGGATTTGAAAGCTCTATCCATCGGTGATTAAATCATTAGAATCGCCTTGATGGTCCAAAACGTATTGGCGGTTTTGTTATTTGGCTGGGGCCAAAGCTCTTGATCTATTGGTGCATTAAAACAAAAGTGGATGGGGCCTGTTCATTGCCTTTTGTTGTCAGTAATTTTTATAGTTCCTGCATTTTCTGATCGGTTAAAATTATTTGTCGCATTGATCCGACCTTTACTTTGCTGTCTTTGTCTTAATGAGTCAATGTATAAGCTTCGTCTGCAGGAATTTTCCGTCATTTTGCATCAATTTTCCTTCATATAATTACTGATTATTTTGGATTTTTAATTTTTCTAGTTCATTAGAATAGATTACTTTTCACCTATAGAACAGCTGTCCTTATTATATTTTGCCTTAGTTTTACTGCAACAGATTTCAGAACACGTATTTCTTTTAGGATTTGTTCGTTTAAAATAATATTTTCCGCCCTATTTTCCTTCACTTTTAACCGTTAATGCATTCAGGCAACTAGAGTAACTTATTCTCAGTGGATTTAACATCACTATATCTTTAAGTTCACACTAATATCCCGTCTCGGGCCGTTCACCTGATCATCCTTTTTTGCATACAGCTATTAGGCGCTACCAATCTTACCTCTCCTGGGACGTTTCTTCTAGTCAGTCTTTCATGCTATTTCTTACTCTCAGCTACACCCCATCCATATTCTACCTTTTTAGATTGTATGTCTAGTATGTCTGTTTGATCTCGTGATGCCTACTTTTTGCTCACCCACATTACCTACATTTTCATTTGCACATCTCTTGACTCCGCACCCAACCGCAATTGACCCTGTATGTCTGCGAAATTTGTTAGCCACTTTCCTTTAAAGCATCCAGCTACTCTTTACTTGGCTTAATCACATTTCTTCTTCGTAGGTTTATTAGCATTACATGCTTTAACTTATGCTTATGCGTCCTGAGCCCTATGGTCACTCACTTCTCTCAGGAAACCTTGCTTAAATGGATTACTTACACAACTACTTACCGTTAACCTTCTGGTGCACAGCCCCCCAACCCCCAACCTCCCACCCAACCCCACATCGTCTTCCTCCTGCCATGGCTGCTCCCATTGTCCACGGGATTACTAATCCCGGGCTGCTTTACTACGGCACTAGCGGCGGCTGCACCCTAAAGCATACCTGGAGATGTTAAGGTCAGGATTAGCAGTGCGGCTAGAAGGGCGGACCCAGCAAGCGGACGAGGAATTATTTAGAGTAGCGACAGAGATGAACGCCCATGTACAGACTCGGGGGACTTTGGTGACACAGCTTAGACATCGGATTCCGAAGAGGACGGAGGTAGCTATCATGAGAAGGCTACAAATCCTGAAATGGAAGCGCCGGCCTACAAAGCCATCTCAACTTAGACGGTGGAAAGCCACCACCTGCCACTCGTCAACAGTTAGCTCTGACTCTAGCCTTATCACTCTGGATAGCCCAGCCATGCCGAACGCCGCTCACTCTCCAGTATGCCCGCCCCCTCTCTCGATTTCCGGTCATTCCTCTCCTGCTGTTGCGACGGCTGTTGAAATCTTCGCTAAACGAAATCTAGGAACGCCATCAGTCCCAAAGGCCTCCGCGCACGCCTCAGAGTTACATCTCCTCTGCTCCTGACTATCAGATGAATCTTCTCCAGTCCCACCCGCCGTAGTAAATACTCCTCCTGGGAACTCGGATCCATTTCCACAACCACAACCACCACACCCAACACCCCAGCCTCTGCTCGGGGCCTACGAAGGGCCCGCGGCGCAAGCTTCGGCTTGTCCCCCTATTTCCCCTGGCTCGAACCATCGGACCAGCGGAAGTGCTGGATACTCTATCAACGTTGCAAACGGATCAGCCTCTGCTATATCCGAACCCAGCCTGCGGAACTGGTCCCCTATGTCATCGTCCCCTAGACGCATTGTGAAAACACTTCCATATGTCTCTTTTCCTCGTCCCTCCTGGTAACTGCCTACTTACCAGGCATTGAAATCGTATCAACCTGCTTCTTTTCCCGCGAACCATTTGCCACCCACCCTACCGGTTTCCACCGTAACACAACTTCAAACTTGCGATTTATGCCCTCGGACCTTTAAAACAAGCAGTGGTCTCCTGAGACATTTCGCCGCCCACCGAAGGAATCCATCAGTCTTTCTGGCTTCTGCAGCCGCAGCCAATTTCCACGATTTCATTTGCCATAAATGCCGACGTTCCTTTGCTTCGTAAAGTAGCCTGGTACAACACCGACGACATCGACATACCGTCCAATACAACGCAGACTGTCTAGCACGACTTCCTGCACAATCCTTTACTTGGTCGACCAGGGAAGATAGACAGCTAAGTAAAGCGGCCTCGAACCTTGATAGATCCTGACCTAAACTCGTTACTGTACTGCACAAATTATAGACGGCATTCCCATGGCGCACGAAGGAGGGCATAAGGAAACGTCTGCAGCGGGTCGGTTGGCACTGTGCTGATTGGCGTGCGCAGTGTGTAGAGTCTCGGGTTTCGCTCGCTCCGATACTTATGCAACCGGCCTCCCTTTCACCGCTGCACCAACGCCGGCGTACACCTTCGACTTCGTTATTCTTGATATCAGATGACTCACTAATACAACTTACCCGGAATGTGGCAATCGAAGACATTCATACTGCCAGCTCCCCACCACCGACGAACCGGGTTGATCGATTTAATACATACAATAATACTTCCACTGTAACAGTTTCTTCATCCAGAATACAGAAAGCCAACCCTACCATCCTGACTGGGTTCTACCTACTTCCCGCGGACCTGGATACATCACAAAACACTCTGGAGGACCTTGTTTTGAGGCGAGAGGATTCGCTTTTAAATGCGGACATTAGACTAACCTACCAATCCAGGCCAAGGCCCTTGTCCACACTTTTGCCTTTCAGTGCTCCCGCTGACTTGATCAATCCTCCCTCCCTTTCCGCAGTCTCAATTTCGCATTCTACTACAAAGATGGTCGATGACACAGCCCCATTCCGCCTTCTGCTCGCGGAGGCTCAACGATTGGCGCGTGGGTGCAAATCTGCCAACAACGAACCACGCCAGCTCAGGGTATCTCTATCTGATGAGTCCAAAGGAGGACGAAACCGGTCATGGGGTCTCAGGATTGCGAGAAGCAACACCAAACCACCAACAACCAACCAAATTTCCTGCTTCTCAACATGCAGCTTTCCCTACCGAAGGACATCTCGCGGGAACACTATAGTAGAGAGCTCAATGTCACATGTACCAGCCTATTCCTTCGTAGATGGGCGCCGACAAAACGCAAAAAGTACCGCCAGTCATTAAGAAACAATCAGCAACGCCGACGCTACAATATGGACACATCCAACGTCTCTATCATACGAGGCGTAAAGCTGCGGCAGTAACTGTTATTGATGGTAGATCGCGAACGGATTTCCTGCAAGAAGACGACCGTATCCTTGGTTTTACGGACTTCTGGACAAAAGTTATTTCTCAGCCTCCAGTATATGACGACCGTCCACCTCGCAATACCATCCCCACTAACCCGGATTTAGTGAGACCCATCACCCAAGAGGAGCTGCGTGTGGCGCTTCGTCAGATGCAAGCTCCGCCCCGGGGGTTGACCGTGTCACACCACGGGATATATTTAGGATGGACCCCGATTTTGTAACTGCTTTTCTCAACGCTCTCCTCGCTCCTTCGCCCTTCACTTCACACATGAATACAGCATGGATCACCTTTGTTCCCAAGACAGATGCACCCTCTTCTCCTGCGTTATTTCGGCCTATTCCCATCACCTTTGTCTTTACTCGTCTGTCTCATCAAATCCTATTTGACCGCTCAGTCCCCACTTTTTCTTCCAATCGTCTGCAATTCGGCTTCCTACGTAAGGCCGGATGTTTTGAAGCACCTGCAATAATGCATGCAGCACTGTGACACGCTCATTCTTCATACTCTTCACTTTCCTTTGCTTCAATTGATATTTCCAAAGCCTTTGATTCTCTTTCTCATCAATCCTTACTACGCGCAGCCTCTGCTTTTGGCGCACCCCCTCTGCTACTGGATTACCTTGCTTCCTACGACGCCTCAACGACTTCGACTTT